GGCAGTCTGCAGCCAGCTGCTGAGAAGACAGCCCAGGATGCTCCCTGTAACACCTGAGGTAACTCCTTGCTCACATTCTTGCTCTTGCAAGAAATGCCCGGGGATAGAAGCTCACCTCTGGATCATGAGGCTTGGGAAGACTGTGCTGGGGCAGAGCACATGGAGGAGGGATGCTGGGAGCCTGTCTTCTGCTTCGTTCCCATGATTTAGCACAGCCCCCTGCTCTCTCAGTTTCATAAACTCCTTATGGATCTGTTTTTACTATTCTAAACAGTCACTTTCCCATCCTTAAATAATTTCTATTTCACTCTATTTTAAAATTACTCCTTTTCCTCACCACCATTTCCACGTTTCCTTCACTATGTTCCCAGTGGGTCTGACACTTCTACATTAATAGAAGACAGTGACCTGTGATAAAAATACATTTTTATGGAGTGCTTGGACAGGAAGCACTACAGGACCTGAGCAAGACATAAAAATACAATAAAGTATATGAAAATCCAGCTCCGATAGATTCATTGCCATGAAAACAGAAACAAGTGAGCAGACACCTTGGCAAAGACTCAATTTTTTGCACAGCATTCATGGAAGCAGGCAAAGGACAAAAGCTGTTGCAAAATTATTTGGATTAGGGAAAATAGTAACTGAACAGAGATGACACATTTGGCCATTCTGCATTTTGCAAGTTAAAACAAAGAGATGAGATAGGAGCTGAAAAATCACCTGTGAGGGTTTATACAACAGCACTGGGTCTGCTGGGCAGTGGAGTCCCAGTAACAGATCAGAGAACAAAGCTTGTCTTGACACCACCCAGAAATCTGCTGAAGGGCAGGCCAGGAGTCTGCACCCCAGCCATGATGGGGAGCAGTTGAGAGACAGAAGAATTGACCTTGAGGCACACTTTCAAATGCATTGATGTTCCAGCTCACACCTGAAACTGAAAGCACCCCAGTGTGCTTCCAGCTCTCCAGAGCACCCTGAGGAACGGAAAAGGGTCTCCTCACCAGCTCTGCCTGGACATACCCTGGCCAGAGTATGAGGTACCACCGAGCTACCCAGGAGAGAAGGCAAAGAAGCTATCCAGTACTAAATTAGAGAAATTCACTCTGAAAGCATTCCCAAGCACAGGAAAATCCATACATGTTTGCAGCCATACTACTGAACAGAGTCCCAGGACCATACACTTCTCCTTGACCATTAACAGTGATCAAGCTCCAGTGCATCTCCCTCCTTGCAGAGCCTTTTCTTCTGGGGCAGGAAATGCCTGCCCAGCCCTCAGGAGTAGGGATCCTAGAAGACTCAGTGCAGGCAGCTGACTTCTGTGGTAGCAAGAGCAGCACAATCTTGGACCTTGAGAGCTTTTACTCCTGTGGGGAATGCACAGGCTGAGCTAAACTATGGACTGGGTATGCCTGATTCTCCTTTTGGAAATTCAGCTGCCAGTGCCACAGAGCAACAGGAAAAATCAGATTCATTTCCACAGAGATTTTATCACCTCAGTCTTGGCATGGGAGAGGCATCTCCACCCAGCCATGAGCAAGTGAGTGCATTTTGCTGGCTTTTTTTATATAATCAGAACAAATTCCTTGGAGATGACTCACAGGGTTTCAAGGGTGTCCAGAGAGATGTCAAGCAGCCTCAAGTGTAAATCAGTGACACACCTTGCTGAGAGGACTCCTGCTCACCAGCAAGCCCATTTGCCCTGCAGATACCAGGCAAGGGAAGGGGCTAGAGGGATATTACCCAACAGGCCCCCACAATCCAAACATACATGTGTGGCATCTCCAGGCCCAGGACACTGCTGGTGTTTACATTTCCTCTGTAAAGACAGTGATGTTTTCAGGGTGGAGCTGGAGTGCTTCCCTGCAGCTGCTCTCTAGGCTTAAACACTGAAGATTTTCAGACATTCAGGCTGGAGGAGCTTGGCAGTCACTGAGGAGATTTGAACTTCAGAAACAGAGGTTCTGCCCCACCAAAGCCTGGTCAAACTGCAGGGGTTCATGGTATTCCATTGCAGCTGTTTCAGTGCTGTGATGATGCTGTGTTAAGCAAACCTGTTCCGTTCCCCTGCCTAGGAATGAACACTCCAGCCTCCAGGGGTCTGCAGGCCAGAGGACAAAGATGATACTTGCATAATGTCGAGGTATAGCCTGCTTCACTGGCTCCTTTAGAGGCTGAAATAGGAAGAACTAGGCCTGGACACAATCCCAGAGGTCCAAAGTAACACTGAGAAAAATCCTGTGGATGCTTTTGGACCTTTGGGTGTTAGAGCAGATGGAACAAACAAATCCTTGGTGGAACTTGGCTCTGGGTCAGTCTTCTTTCAGTAATAGCATGAGCAAGGTTTGGCACAAGGTGCCAGCCTCCCCATCTGCAAGCTGCATGCAGGTCTACCACCAAGCAGGTGCTTCCAGCCTGGAGTGGGGCAAATCTCTATTTCTGCATTCTTTGAAGGCAACTGCAGAAGACACAACCCAGCTATTATGCCCTTCACCTTTCAACTTCACCCTCAGATGACTAACAATTACCAGCTACCATTAATATTAAATAGGAGAGAAAGAAATGTGATCCTCTCTTTGCTCTTCACATTCCACAATATCACAAACAATTTGTCATATTGGGAGGGGCAGAGGCAGGAGGAGCATTAATTATTGATACTTGGGAACAGATGGCTTTTCTTGTACCAGGGCAGTGAAATGTAAGAGGAGCCCGTGGGTGAGGATGTGAGGATTGGATGGACAGACACATATCAGGTAACCAGCCTTCAAGTGGAACAGGAACCTTCCTCCTAGAACCAGCTCCACAGGGCTGCAGAGCTCCCAACAACAGCCCCAGCTGCAGAAACAAATCCACTGACATCTGAATTACTGGGGCTTCACCAGAACCTTTCAACGCTCCCTCACCTCTGCACAGGACATGATGACTGATGGCTTCCAGACAGCAGAGGCCTGGCAAATCAGGCACCAGCTGCTCTCTCTAGGAGACTTCACACATTCATCCTCATCTAACTGTTCTGTGCCACGCAATGTCTGCTCCTGAGACCACACAATGTGCAAGAGTGACCTCCTCCAGCCTTCCAGTGGCCTTGGATCCCATTTGGGGTGCTGGCCTCCAAAATCAGAGGTCCAAGTGATGTGGACCAGCAACTTCAACCAACTCTTTGCCAAAAGAGCTGCCAATTTTCCCATTGATTCGTCTAAGGAGGAAGAAAAAGAAGATTTGATTCTTGTTAGCTCCAGTGGTGTCCTTGAGGACAGAGACACATACCAGGCTGTAAAACAAGCCTGTCAAGGACACCTGCTGTGGCTGTCCCCATGTCTAAAAGCTGACCATGGGACTGACATGCTTATGGGACAGGAGGAACAACTGGGCAAGAGTGATTCTCCACCAAAGGCAGCTGATTCACCAGACTGAAAACAGTGACACCAAAAGCTTTTCCTGAAACTGTCCTGAAGAGTCTCCGTGCTCACTGCTGGATTCAGGCATCTGTAGCCATTTTCACTCTGGCCTAGCCATCTCTTTGTTGGAATACTAAGGGACCAGCTATACTGCCTCAGACCTGGGCCTGGGGAGCCCAGGGTCCTGTCTCTGGCAACAGTTATAAGCAGATGGTGATACCTCCTCTACTACTGCAAAAGTTATTTTCCTTAGCTATTTTCCATTCAGGGATTTCATAAGTCTGACATTAGCTCAATTCAATTTACTTCTTTGGACATACCCCTTAAATCCTTAAATAGGCACTAATTTTCCCAGCAAGGACTAATTAAATCCATGGTTGCACCATTGAGCTAAGCCACCTCTCTTGCCACCTCCACAGGCCCAGAAGGTACCTCAGCACCACAAGGTCAAATCCCTTGGTGTATTGAGGACCTCCTCACAGCCTTTTCCTAAACTCTGTTCCCTTAGCCTCTGCTGAGAGCTTCATGCTTCAAAGTCTCATTACTCTGATAATTAGACACACTCTTCTCATTTCTCAAGCTGACTAATCATTGATTTATAATTCCTCTCAGTCTGCCTAGGGTCATGCAGCCTGCAGCCTGTGAGAGTACTAAGACACGTACAGTCTTGTGATTTGGAAAAACACAACTTCCCAGCTTCCCTCCTGGTCTGAATCAGTGGTGAAGTCCTTGAGGTGAGCAAATGCCAGGTGCCAGGAGACAGCTGCTGTCCATGAACAATACAACTTTTCACACTGTGGAGTAGGATAGAGCAAGTTTCCCTACCCAGAGAAGAGGGAGAAGCAATCTTAGGAAGACCTGGGTCACATCTGTGCTGGGAAAGAAGGAGCTCTCCCATAAAAGCAGCAAACTTTCCCACTATAGAAGCTTTGACCAGTGTCCAAGTTTGCTCTAGTTTGGTACAGGAAATGAATAGACCTGAAGTTATCCATATTGCTGCATTATACCAACATGAGAGCTTTTTGTTCCTCCAAAAATGCTGTTTGTCTCACTGTGATAGCAGCAGAAAATGTGTTTAATGTGGACCTGTCTTTACAGAGCAGTTTCCACAGAGCCCAGTGGTGTGCACACCAGCGAGGTGCTGCTGAACAGTCAGCTGAGAGCTCAGGTACACAGGCTGATCTCACCTCCCCCATGCTTCCAGGGCCTGAGGAGGGGATCAACTCGTAAAAGAAGCCTATGGATTAGAGAGCAATCCAATGGATCACAAAGCAGGAGAGGGTGCATCTTTTCAACCCCACAGCAGAATTGCTCCCTTTCACACTCCTTGAGCTAACATTTATGTGAATCGTTTCCCTGCCACTCAAAGAAGAAATTATATTATATACACATTCCAGAGAACTTTTCCCAGCAGTAATAACCATTTTTAACATACACTGAGCTTGGGAGAATGTTTAGAATTTTACAAGCAAATGCATGAGCGGAGCTGTGTTTTGATCCACACAGGACAGCTGTAAGTTGACATCACAATCCCAGTCAGGCTCTGGAGTCAAGGTAGCTGGTGGGCTTGGGAGGAGGATGTGCTTGGCAGGAGCTCCCTACCTCTTTGATGGCAGACATCTTGATGTTCTCATAGTAGTGCAGCGGTGCATTGGGTGAGCTCATGTCATAGCCAAAGCCAGCTACCGCCACCTCATCACAGTTGTGCAGCGCCATGGTTATTGCTACGCTTCCCAAGGTGGGGATGTTCTGAGAGGAGAGAAAGCAGGGATGGAAGTCATTAGCAGGTTGCCATTTTTATAATCAAAAATTTCCTCTTATTGCCTCTGCTCACGGGGGCACTGCTGATAGTAAGCAGAAAATCAGGAATGTGGTATTTGGCCATATTCAACCTGCCAGCTTGCAGGGTTGATAGCCTTCCAGCTTGTAAAGGAATTAGTGCAAATGGTTAGACTCCCCTTCCACAGCTTTGCTGTCCAGAGAACAGGGCAGCAGACGAGCTGGAGGATGAATCACAGTGGATACATTAGCTTTCTGAAATTAAAACAGATGTAGACAGTGCATTACTGGCTTCCAGCTAGGCTAAGGAAAAATACTTATCCCAAACAGATCACCACACAGGAGCAAAACTGAGGAACGGCACAAACACCTTAATTCACTGATGGCAAATGCAGTTTAAGGTTGTTAAACACCTCTGGGAGGTGGAGAGGATACCAGTCAGTGTGTTCCAAGACCCTTTCCTTTTCTCAGGGGCACCTTGACAGTGAAGGGGCACTGTGGCCTGTGCCATTCCCTCCAAACCACACACTGGGAAAACAAGGAGCAGTGGGAAGCCAGTCAGAGATGGGTGGTAGCATCCAGGGCATGCCACAACTGTCCTTTCCCATCTGCTGACCTGCCCTTTGCACTGATGTCCAGCCTTAGCCCTTCCCATTTCACTGGGCTCTGGCACCGTGACAGCAGTGTTGCACAGCTAGAACTCCTCCTGTGTGCTCTGCTGGGACAGCAAAGGGTTTCCAGTGTAAAATCCTAGCCCACTGACTTTTCTAGCTCTCCTTTAGCCAGATAAATCCAGAGGCAACTTTGCCCCAGGGGCTAGGGAGAGGCTGAGAAATCCACCCACATCTTCATTTGTAGAGTGTCCAACGCTGGCCGTATTTGAAATACCACAAATTCAGAGGACATGCTCAGACAGTCACCAAGGGTGACAGCTCCTAGCTGAGATGTAGAAACCAACTGCACTCTTATATTTTTCACGTACCATGGTTCACCCTGAACTGGTGAGCAATGCTACTGCATGTTCAAAAAGGTTGGGAACAATGTTTTGAGTTTCTGCTTCTAGTTCAAAGAAACTGTTTTTTTGTCAGTACATGACCTTGCTCACTTCTGATTGCCTGAGCAGTCTGAAGGAAAATGTTTTCCAAGCAAAGAATGCCACCCATATCCCAGCTGAGATGTGCAGAGCTGGGAGCACAACTCGTGTGCTATGTAGAGCTCCACTACAGTGCATTGGAATTACTCTAATCTGAAAACAAACAGGCAAAAACTGCTTATGGCTAAATAAATGAGACATTAGGTCCAAATATTTGCAGCACAACAGTAATAGAGCACACCTGAAATGTGCTCTGTAAGACCTTCCTACATCCTCCTGTTCCAGTTTTAAATGTCAGGAAAAGCAGCAGAGTAACTTTGTTCTCCGATAATTTCAATTGATACTCACAAAAACAATACTGGTTTTATCCTAGTTACTTCAGTTAACTGTTAATTCACTGGCAGCCAAAAAATATCAAGTAGGGGTTTCAAAAAAATGGAAAAAGTTTATTAGGCAAGGATAAGAACATTGCCCCAAATTTCAAAATATCCAAGAACATCCTGTCTTTCCAGACATGACAGTTTTAATTCTGATTTCTCAGCTTTATGTTTTGCATAGAAGATGACATTTGTATGTCGCTGGGATTGCATCAGCTGGTAAGCGGACGTGCCACAAAACTCTTTCCCCCAGCAGAGCTGTAGCTACAGTGTCCAAAACACAGTGAGTAAATGGTTACATCCTTGAGACTGCGTCGTCACTGGGAGCACCGCGGCGTTCCCACCACCCACACTTGCACTGCGCCCATTCCCACGGCACCGCTCAAGGGATACACGGGGTCTCTGCCTGGAGGGAATTTCCCTGGCCAATTTAACATTTAAGAGCTAACTTTCTAATGTGAGTCTTGCAAACCACAGAGAATTAATCACATTACCCAACCTTATGGGAGGACTGCCAAACTTTCTTTCAGGCATACTCTGTTTGGAGAATAACAGTAGACAGAAATTGAAAGTGAACTTTCGTTTGGTCGCCAAATATCTGTCTGACTTTATTCCTTCTACAAGACATCCAATGATATTTATGGAAAAATACGAGGTAATTTTCTCCTCTGCTTCTGTTCTTAGTAGCTCCTGACATGCCACTATCTTAGTACCACCTGCTCTGCTCTCAAAAATGATAAAAATACCAGAGACTACCTACCTTCCCAATCTCTTGTAGTAGATGTATCTGATTTGGCCTCTATAACTACCAGAAATTCACAGGATGTCCTTAGCAAATAGTTTTGCATTACCCTAAAAATCACACCTGGAAACTGATGATCTGATGACAGTTTCTTAATTATGCCTAATTGATGTTAGCACACTCCAACACTGTGGTAGCTATAGCTTAATAAGTGTCCCCCTTGAAGGCAGAATTCTGCAGCCTTCAGTGGTGAGATGCAGCCTCAATCCCACTGCTGCAGTCAGAATCCTGGGGGCTAGAGAGGTGCCTCTTGAAAATATTGTCAAAATGATCACCTCTGCTATTCACTGAGGCCAGTAATTATCAGGGCAGCACAGGGGTGCTTGCAAAACCCACCCATAGTAAATGGTGTGGATAACAGCATCTGCCTAAAAGAACATGGTGCAAAGTGTGTGTGCACCTACACGTGCCCAGATCACATACACATAACTGGCCACTTGCTCCAAAGTGCTTATCTTCTTTAAAAAAAGAGCAACCATCAGAGGGATTAAACAGTAACTGAGGAATTAGACAGTCTTGAAGAAATGGAGCTGCCTTGAACAAAACTATAAAAAAAGTACAATTGTTGATTAGCTAAGTGTCATTACTTTAGTGTAATTACTTTAATCTTGATTTGGTTTAAGCTACAGAAACTGGGCTCTTTTCTCCTGTAGCAGCCTGCTGAGATTCTGCTACTCCTGTCACCTGTTGAAAATGAAGCACTGCCTCACGTCCAGCTTGTGGCATGGGAAAGACAACACCATGTAGGATCTAGGCACTTTTCCCAGGTTGTGCTGCAGAGAATGCAGCAGAACAGCACTCTCAGGTCCAAGGGAAAGGGCTCTCCCCTCCTTTCCTCCTAGCAAAGAAGTGGCAAATAAGAGGAGACACATTATTAGAGAGGAAGTGGCTTTAACTACTCCTTGGCTGCATCTACAGAGCTTCCAAGCTCTCCTGATTGTACACATAAATTCATTAGCTGCTAACCTCTAATCTGGACCTAATGGACCATATACAACCTATGGGGCAAGCTGGGGGACAAGTGACTCCAAAAGAAGTTAAGCATCATGGACATGGCTGTGCCAAATCTGGCTTGCAATGCCCCGCACAATGTGTCAGTGCTATCTCACCACACACACCCTTGTGCCGTGCCCCAAAGACATACCAAAGCAACCACCACACCTCCTGCACTGAGTTATGAAAAACAACCGAGCAGGCCTCTTGTTATTTGAGGTTTTGCTACGACAGAACCCCCCGAATTCTACCATCTTGCCTCAGGAATAATAATCTAGTGTTGGACCAGTTCAAAGCCTGTCTTCCTGCTCATGGCCCTCTGTGTGCTTGGGTGTTCCTGTATCACTAAGCAGTGCTGCTTTCAACCAAATGGTTGAAGAGCTACAGCCCCACAACAGCCAGTGCTGAGGCAGGAGCCTCTTGGGATGCCTCCCAGCCACACAGAGACTGCCCAGTGCAGGTTAGACCTGGAAAGGCCCAACACAACCACTGCTGCAGATGTGGCCATGATGAGCCTCTGACCTGTACTGGTGCCCAGCAAGCAGTGTGAGCTGGGAATGGCAAAGCCCAAAATCATTGGCAGCCCTCTGTCCTTGTCAATTCCATGCCACAGGCATTGAGCTTGGCCTTGCAAGCTGTGTGTCAATGGTTTCTGTCCAGGCTGGGGCCCCTGGAGGTACCAGGCATGGCATCCCCTCTCCAGTAAACAACTACAAGGGCAACCTCACTGGGTAACGTGTCCAGAACTGAAAGTCCACATTTTCAAGCCTGGCCTGCTTGTCTAACATATGGAAACATATGGAAAATGTAATATCCAACATAACGCTCCCCAGAGATCAGCCCTTTGCTTGGTCCCATTTGAGAGAGCACAGCAGAATGACAGATGAGCCAGGGATGACACTAAAAGGCCACGTGACAAACAGAAGCAAAAAACACAGCAGTGGTGAGAGGCACATCACCACAGCAGTGCTGGGCAAAGCCTGCTGGAGCCTCTGAAGCATGGCTCCTTCCAGGGGTTCCTGTCCTCCATGGGTAAGGTGAGCACACGCATGGTGGATCTTGGTGAGAGAAGTGTAAAGGCAGGAGAGGCAAAGATTTCTTGTCTTGTGCTGTGTCAGGAACCACAGCAAGCTCAGTGCAGGGCAAACACAGCCAGTTTGCTCCTCAGGTCAGGGGACCAGAAATGCCTTTAGCAGTACAGGTATAGGACAGGTTCTCCTAACTGCTCCTACACAGTTCTCTGCTGCAAGCAGGACAAAAAGGCTTCACCTCAAGACATGGATGTTTCATCTTCCATTCTGCCCCCTGAAGAGGCTTTAAAGACTGACTTCTACTCACATAAGGAAATAAGTCAGTCAGCAGAAATGAACACTGGAACTCCTCTGGACTCTGTTGAGGCTGACCATTACCTCGTGGGCTTGTGCTGAAGATCCAGTGCTGGTGACTGAACCAGGGCTGGAACTGCTCTTTGCTTGGTGCATGTGAAAAGCTCTTGCTGCTTTTCATTCCATGCCCGGGTCATTCCTGTGTCACTGCCTGCTGGACTGGAAGGAAATGACTGCTGTAAATCTGTTTTTAGAAATATTTGACTCCCTTAATATGTTAAATGAATTCCAGTTATTTATGGGATTTTACTTAGTTCAGGGTAAGACTTATTGGATTGTTCAGACTATTCCAATTGTTATCTTTTTCAATAAAAGGGTAAGTGTTACTGAAGAATAAACTCCCTACAAACAATAATGCACCTGGACATTCAAATTGGTTTGACTCTATATTAAATAATTTGAGGAAAAAATAAAAAAATTTGCTTTCTTGGGAAAAATTCTTACCTTAGTTTTATCAGTTACAGACCTGATCACCTAATAGCAAAGAAGTTTTTAAAACAAAAGAAATCCAGAACAAAACTATAATAGTAATCTCAACATACATGAGCTATCAATTTTGTTTCCTTATGTTTGCATTGGAGCAAACCCAAACCTACCCTTTGTTTCCTTTAGCTGAAAAGGTGGAAATATGACATAGAAAACAATTTAGTATCATTCATTGTGGGCAGGTGAGTGCCTGGCATTCTGTGGAGTGGTCCCTGTCACAGGAGCTTACAATGCACACTGCTGCTCCTAGAGCCACCTCCACCCATGCACAGAAACAGCTGCAATATGGGCTTCAAAAACCACAGCAGAGCATCTCAGTGCCCCTCCTCCAGCTTCCCTGGCTATCCCTGGCTCTGAGTGGGACAGAGCCTGCAGGACTGGCTGTCTGCAGCTGAGCAAGGGAAGGGCCAGCAGCTGGTGGCTGGAGACAGGACAGCCCAGCAGGCTCCCTTCTGCCACTTCCCTGATGACTTCCTCAAGACCCAAGCCCAGTCCAAGTATTTTTGACCACATCTAACCTGATGAAGCACAAGCTCTGATTCACCATTTGCCATAGAGCAGATTCCTGTGCAGTGCAGGGAGTATTTCTAAAGCACCTAAGGATTTAACAGAAGGCAAGCAAAAGCATGACTTTACTACATTCTACCTGCTCTCTGATAAGAACATACACACTTACCCCATGCTAAGTAGGAGTTCATGGTCTACTCTTCACTGAGAAGCAAGCTCCCTTCAGTTCCTTGGCATCTCATGAGCAGAAGCAGGTGGCAGGGCTTGTACCAAGAAGAGGTTGGTATGCATTTACCTGCTCCCCAGCACCAGTTTGAGCATCCCTTCCCCAGCAGCTCATGGGCTGGTCCCACTGCAGTGGCAATGGGTGGGACAGCCCAGCCCATGAAGCAGATGAGCTGCCTTGCAAACCCAAAGCTTTACAGTGACACATTTAACTGACTGCAGCTGCAGTGGCCCTTACGTGTCCCTCTACCTGCCTTAGAAGATGACATCAGGGTGCAAAAAAGGGAGAAACGCATAACTGGAAAGGATTAAGTGGAACACTGTTCCCCACCTCTCTTTTACTCTACAAAGACCCAACAGGCTCCAAGACACAGCCTTCACAAAGTCACAGTCCAGTAAGAACAGCCCAGGAGACAAAGTTTGCTGATACCTGGGCAACTCATGAGCAAAAACATCATGATGATGAAACAAGGGAGCTGAAAATTGCCTAAGGAGCAAAGGATCCCTGCTGGCACCTCCAGAAAGGATGCCTGCCCACAGGAAAAACCATCTAAGAGCTACGAGAATCCTTAGCCAGGACATGCTAACATTCCAGCATCAGAGGTTAATCCCTGAGATGTCAGCACTTTGCAGAGGTGCTAATCCATGGCTGGGTGCCTGAATCAGCCTGGTAACACCTCCTGCACATGGCTCCTCCTTCACCAGCTTAGTGCTGAAGCTGGGTGAAGTCCAAAGAAGGATGCTTTATTTTTTTAGTTTATAGATTCAACCATTTCCAGTACATGAACAAACAAAAGGCTTCCAGAGTTGGGTTAAATCATAAGCAGATCCATGGATGCACAGCACCAGCACAGAGAGAGAAACAAACATTGCAGTCTGCACTGGAGTCCTCAGACTTCTGATAATTTACGTCACCTGAAGTATTCCCCTTCCTGCCTCACATCAGGCTCAGGGCTCCCAGAGGAGCCAGAAGGACACTGCTCCCATGGCTCTGAGGGCTCCTGACTGGGCAGGACAATTCACTACACAGCCAAAGGCACCACAGCAGTGACCACCCCTAGGGGTGTCTGTGCACCCAGCAGTGACACCTCTGAGCTGATGCTCGTGCTTGTCCCCCAGTAAACTGCCTGCAGTCTAAGGGGTGCTATTGCAAGCTTCAACCACCAGCTGCAGTGATGTCTGGTTTCAAGCCCCAAAGATCTGTATAAACAGAACTTCCACCTGAACAAAAATCACATTTGGCTAGAGAGAAAGCCAACCCTACACTCATACCTTAACAGAATTCTTTAATCAGAGAGAGGATCTTTACTAGATTTTTTTTTTTTGTTGGTGCTAAACCATCTTCAGGCATTAACAATTATTTCCCCCCAGATACTGCTAGAATCCCAAAGTTTGTTCTTCATTATCAGCTTATCCCAAGAAAGAGAAATCCACATATAGTATGGAACAGCTCTCCTACTCTTAAGACTTCAGTAGGACTGAAGAAAACTTCTAAAAAGCTTTATCAGTCCCAGAGAGAAGACACTATTCATTGTGGGTGTGAGTTTTGCTCCTTGCTGTGGCTTTTGGCTACCACTGTCATGAGTGCAGTCAAAAGGCACATCTGAGTTGTACCCCATTACTACACTCCATGATCATCTGGCCCAAATTATATTATCAAAGCAGAGGATGTTACTACATTCACTCTTTATTGAATCCTGGGAAAAACGCTTTGAGATCAGCCCCAAACTATTTTACTAGCTCTGCTCAGCCTTGCTGGAAAAGCCCCCAAATTACAAAGTTAATTGGCAGCACATTGTTACCATATGTGGTGTGCAAGAGAAGCACTGAAGTTTATTTAGGTATCAAAACCAAAGGAGAGTGGAATATTACTGCTCTTTATGAGGATTTTGTGTTGGCCTTGACTAGGAAGGCATCCCCAGCCTTGATCCTCCAGTGTGCAGCCTGCCCAACCAGCACAGCACTCTGCAGCACGGGGGCACTCACCTGCCTCCAGCCCCATCTCCCAGGAGAAACTCTGGGTACACTGCTCGCTGTGCTTTTACTTACTAGTCCTCAGCATTTCCTTTTCCATGTTCATATGCTTCATCTTGAAGAAAGTTTTCCAGGTTATTTCTCACTGATAAAGCACAACCCCAAACCCAACCAGGCATGCAGCTGCTGGGTCACACAGATGTAGAACAATCCTCCTTGCTGCCCCACTTGTCTGCCTGGATCACCCACAAATCTCCAGTGAGAGCTGGATCCTTGGTCTACAGGCTCTGATTTCCACTCCTCCCATTTAAAATCTGAGCAAAACTTGTAGCAAATTTGTATCACCAGGGCCTTACTCAGACTCTTCCTCTTCACCCTGACAGCAACAGCTCCTGTTGGAACCCTTGCACTTACAGAGCCACAAACTTCGCAGTGGTGCAGCAGAATTCACTAAAGTGTGAAGCTCCAGCAGGTCCATGACAGCAGTCCATAGCTGATGTTTGCAGTAAAATTGTAGCCACAGGCCAGAAACTCTCTCTCTGTTTTTAAACTCTGGCACAACCCCTGTATCAGTGTCCTTGCACAGACCGCCCAGGCTATACTGACATCTCAGCCCCACACAGGCACCTGCAGAGCTCCTGCTGTCCCATCTGGAGGAATAAACTACAATTCACACAGTCTACTAGGGGTCACAGGCAAACACTGCTTGCCTTAAAGAACCATAAACTGTCTTTAAATGCTCAAATAGACTTTCGTGAAGTGAAACATCAGGTTTCAATTAAGATGCCTTCATTTCCCAATCTGATGTGTGTTAAACAACCTATCAAAACCTCATAAACTTCAGTTCACAGCATTCTCATTTCCGGATTCTCTCTTCTCCTTTCAGTTTAAGTAATAACTTCTGTATTAAAATAACGTGCTTAAAAATAAAAACAAATTGGAGAAAATTAAAGTATGATGATTTTTGTCCATTATTGGGACAGCACTCCTGATTTTCTGGAAGACACATCAAGACCACATTGTTCTAAGGGTAAGTTCTGGAGAATGCAGAGAGATGAAGTAAGCTAATTCCTAGCTGACTGGAATATTTGCAATAAGATACCTTCAGTGCACAGAACAAAAATCCAGAGTTCCCAGAATCCCATGACAGCTTCTGTACACAGCAGTGCATTTTTCAAAAGGCCCATTCCATGTGGCCGAATCTGTCTGCACATCTTGCATTTTGCATTTCAAGAAGGAAACATCTTATCTTGAGGCATCCACCCATCTGACTTGCACAAAACAAAGTCTCTAATATTCTAGAAGTCTTCATTATATAATTAGAGCACGGAAAATGAGGCACTATTCTGTCTAGCCCAAATCCCTGCTGTGACATAGCAAATCTCCTGCACTGATAGCAATGGAAGGACAATGCCAGGGGCAGACCAAGCAGACCTTGTCCAGCAAAAGTGCTCCTCTCTGGGTTTGTCAGCTGTGCTAACAAAAATGTCACGTGTGGTCTCTATCAACAACTATATCACATGTGTACATGAGCAATTTACCCACCCAAGTAATACTTACTCTAATGGTTGATATATTATGTAGAGCAAATATAAATAGGTTCTGAGGACAGTGTTGCAATGTGAGATAATCCAGAAAACCCAAGTCACCACCTACTCCAACACTAACACTCCAAAAAGCTGCACTGGGGGTGAGAGGTACGAGAATGAACATTAAGGAATTTTGTTAATAAATATGAGCTAAAACTGTGGTTTGCATTGTTTTCTTTTGTGAGCTTTTACATATAAAACTTGTTGGGATAAGACCAGAATTTCTTACCAAAGGCCTCATAAAGCAAACCTTTACCTTCTTCTACTATCGGCCTGGGATGCAGCTTCACAGTGGCTTTCAAGGCACTGCTAAAGTGTTGATGATCCCCCCAAAAACCCTTGGATCAGGAAGGTTCTTGCCTGGGTCTGAAGTAGACTGAGAGCTGTCACTGTAACAGAGCCAAAGTCCCTCCCCTTCAATGTCCAACAGTGGAGGCCCAAAGGAAAAATAAGAACAGTGTAAGCCTCCTGTGCTGCTTGGTCTCACATCCTTCTCTGAGGTTTTGCCCCCTTTGCTTTATACCTACCCCTCTGCCCATCAGGCCGTTGTTGAAAGGCAGTCCAATGAAGCTGAAAGCTGCCTCCTGGATGAAGTAGGGATTCAGGATACGTATCTCATGAGGTTCCCTTGGGACACGGGTCGCCACTGACTTCCAAAAGCCATCAGAGGCACTCTGGGAACAAAAACAAAAAGGAAAAAGAAAGATAAAACAACAAACAGAATTATATATAAAGATATATTATATATATATATTATATATAATATAATATATATAAATACAAAATACAGCAGATTTATATTATTTTATTTAAAAAATATATTATAATGCACTAGTGCAGCAGTTCCCATTGTCTCTGCTCACTGCCACAGGGCAGCAGTGTAATATTGTAGGGCATAACAATTGTGTGTCTCTTGAAGATGTGGCAGCAGCATGGACTCATGCAGTTGAGCCAGTTTGGACAGTAACTGTGAGGGAGACTCACAGGCTAGGTCTTCAGCACAAATTACCCCCTTTCCTCCTTCCTGGTGCCATCTTTTCATCTTATTGGCACTTCAGCTGGTTTGATCCATGGATTAAGCATTCCAGCACATCCTGTGATCATTCCCACCTGCCTCCAAGGAGATACACCATTGGATAGCAAATGCTTTTAAGAACATTCAAAGAGATAAAAATGACTGTACAGCCCTACTTGCAGTGTGAGCTACATACTTCTCACTTTATCCTAGATTTGTCCTCCCCTGTTAGGTTTTATGTGAATTAAGCTGTAAGCTTATAGAGGTATCATCTTGTCTTGTGAACAGTCATGAATGTTCACAGTACAAGGGAAGAGACAACTAAGTATGTCTATTATTTTTACCCAATTCTAGTTTTCACTCTGCAAACATGGAAGAACAGTGGCCTTGATGTGTGCTGCACTCCTAGACAGCCTCCCCTGGGAGGGGCTGGTGCCACTCTGCCACATGGCTTCCCATCCTTGCTCACTGATGGCTTTGCATCATTGCTCCCCATCACTGACACCTCTCCAGGTGTCAGCAGGCACAGCACAGAGTGCCCCAAAATAACCAGAGGCTCTGTGTTCACAGGACTTAGGGAGCAATTGTGTTCCAACATTTCACTTCTGTTTGGGTTAATTCAGAGCAAGGCACAGGGAGGATGGAAGGAATTTTAATTTGCTGACCAGCTTCTTGGGCAGGATAATCTGACTGAACACCTCCTTGAAGCATTGAGCCATCTTCCCTGAGATCTCCATGACAAGAAACAGACACTACACCACATAAAAAGGACACATTCTGGAATTCATTATACACACCAGTTTTGGGTTGCTTGCCACTTGGCAGTGACTTTACGGCTGCTCTCAAGGCACTGATGAAAATGTTGATTATCCACTGCAAAATTCTCAGGAGCTTCCTCTGCCCAGTAGTGATTACCCCTGTAATTACGGACTGGAATTCTGCCTCAGCCAGTGCCTGCTGCATTTCACACGCTCCCTGTCCTGTGCTCAGCTCCTGTGAACTCTCACACCACGTGTTGCTGAACACCTTACTGAGCGTTTTTTATGGAACAATCCCATGGATATCTTTAGCTGCTGAATTTCATACCCTGAAATTGAAACTCTGGCAGATGGCTCAGGCTACAAAAGGCATTAACAGAGCAAACCTGAGGAGGGTGCACGCTGTCATCCAAACCAACACCCTAGGAAGCCAAATCCCATTGCTATCTGTGCCCCCTCAAAACTGCCCAAACATAATACACTTTTGACAACCAGGGCAAGCATCCCATGGGTTTAAGTTCACATTTCATCAATGGCCAGGTGCCCTTGGGACCCTAAATGGAAAAAATTCTTAATTACCACTCACATTCTTTCATCATAGTAGAATCAGAAAGAATGTCTGGTGTCAAAGTCATCTAACACTTTCCATTATAATAAGACATTTTCAGCCACTGAGTGATCCCAGAATTAAAAAAAAAAAAAAAAAAAAAAAACCAGAAAAAAAAACTTTACAAATATTAATAAAGTATAACATCCATTTGACCAAGGGATTTGAGGGATTTGGTATGCCAGCTGGGTTTTGCCTCCTTGTGAAAATTCATTAAAAATTGGATAAATATTAAACCTTTGGAATTTCCTAAGGGCACACATAAAGTAGAGGCCTTTCAGTTCCAGGAAAAGAGGGGGGAAAAAAAAGGGACAGACTCCACTTGCATTAAGCATGCTCCAGGTCTCACAAAAATGAAGATGATAAACAAAAATTGTGAACAGCTACTCATTCAGTGAAGCCATCTTATCATGGGCTTAAGCAGGCACACCCTGGAAAAATAGTGTGTGACCTTGAAACTAAAATAAATTTATAAGTTCAATTAAGATTTCACATACACCTCTAAATATGGTATTGCCTAATTTTGTGAACAATTCAAGCCAAAGATCTGCAAGCTATTTAAAGTGAACAGAAGATGCCTTTTGTTTGGACATGCACTCCATAGGAGATTCTACATAAGTTCTGGGATTTAAGTAGGTTTTACCTGGCTTTTAAACATTACACATAAAACATTAAATAGAAAATAAAAAGAAGAAAAGTTATAAAGACTTGAGAGTTTTATTCCTTGCTGCTGCTGGAGCTGAAATAACCAGACATACCACTGCTGTCCATCTTCCCAGCGCTGTGTGACCACACCTGGGCTCTTCTCAGCTAGTTCAATGCCAGTGAGAAATAAATGGGGATGCCCATCCCTAGCTGGAAATACAACCAGTCTGCTTTACTCCCTTCTGTTTAGCTGTTTCTCCTGTTGTTCTTGACTATTTCCCTAAGCATTTCCTTCAGCTATCACACTGCTCTGAAATTGCTCTGGCTTCTCCCTTCTGTCTCATTCCTATTTGCTCTGTGTTCTTCCCTGTAACTTCACCGGGCAGTTCCCCTGAGATTAGTTTTGAGGGACACCGGGGGAGCCTTCCATTGTGGCGCGTTTTCCCGCTGTAGTTTCTAAAACAATTCTGGGGAGGAGCACGGAGTCTCAGCAGGCAGCTCTTGCTTCCACCTCTACAGCCGGCAAAGCCCCGTGCAGCGCTAAAGAACCAAAAACTGTTTTCCTGGCTTATCGTTACTGAAATCCCAGCCTTGTGGCTTGGCTCTCCGAGCCCCGCTGCGGTTTTGTTCCGCAGCTGCGGAGCCGGCGAGCGCCGGGGGCTCCTCCCGGCAGCGCGGCCCCACCGAGCCCCGCTACCGCCGGTGCCGCGCCTCGGGTGGATGCTCAGCCTGATCGGACCCAGATGTTCAGAGAGCTTTCCAAAGCAATTACTTCCCGTCGGGGAACGCTGTCCCTTTTTTTGGCTGGGAGGAGACCCGAGGAGCAGCAGGCATTAGGAGGAGGCATCACGCTTTTCCTGCCAGATTCGGGAGCTCAGACTCGCAGTTGGAGGCTGGGGGCATCCTCTGCTGCCTGCTGCAGTGCTTAAGGGTGGGCTTGTCACAATGAAATAACCGCTGTCCTGATGAGCACAATGACAAACAGTCAGAAAATTAGTCTGAAAACTGCTTAGGCAATGTTCCTGCAGTGCCTCATCACCTCCTGGTACTCAGTGGAAACCAGAAGGAACAGGCTGGAAATTGTGTATCCTTGTGTTAAGCTTCTACTGTTATTACTTGTTGGTATTACTGTGCACCTGGAGTCCCAGGCACAGATCAGTATTCGGGGTGCCAAAGGCTGCCAAAAGGAGCTTACACGATACAAGCATAAACACAAACAAGCATCACAAACAGGCAGACAGGAGAATGTGACTGAAGAACAAGCCTAAGAGGGCCATGGCATTTTTAAGCAATCTTGGAGTGCTTGCAAAATTGTTTAATTGCAAAGGACATCACTAAAGGCTTTAGAGGAAAGTATTTTAAAAGTACAAAAGAATTTAGATAGATAGGCCAGGGCTTTCAAACCAGTCTCTTTTACAGTTCTCACCCAGCAAGAGAGGCAGAAAGAGACACCACCACCTCTATAGACATCACTCCAGGAATAAACTGGTACAGACACAACAGACCAAAGAGCAGATTAGGAGGAAGGGATAAAAAGTGGCAGGGCTCACCAAATAGCTCCAGGGACAAGACAATCCAGCTGCAATCCCTCATTCTGTCCACTTGCAGAATACTGAAGGCTAACAGGCACAGCCAGTTGTAAACTATTTTTTGTCTCCATTCAGTTTTCCATCTCCTGTTCTCAGATTTACCAAGGCAAATCACAACATTCTCTAAAATAAGATATGGAAACTCAGAGCCTTAGCCAAGAAGCACCTCAGTGGAAAATACAAACCACTAGAAGGAGACTGAGTCTCCCACAATAACAACATTTCTAATATACTGAGCAAAAAGAGAGGTAATGCCATTGCATCCAGATGATACAGATGCTGCCTCTGTGACACTACTGGATTTATGAGTACAATAGCTCATTGATGATTCTAGCTCTGATGTGAGGGGGACAGGAAGATTGCAAAGGTCACCTACAAGCAACAAGAAGTCTGGGTATGCAATACTTTGCTGCAGAGCAACCAAATGAAGAGACCAGAGAAGGAGCCTGTGGTAAATGGAGATTACTGCCCTTTTGAACTCTGCTAACACCAGAAATGGAGAGGAAGAAGGACATGAGGCAAAAAAAAAAAAAGTCAAGAGATGATGCATCAGTCACAAGACCTCACGGTGCCTGTGAGCACATTGTTAATTGGAATCTCTGCCCCCACCGAGGCTGGAATGTGGTTTATTCTCTACCAGTCATCCACAAGCTCTCACTGTCACACAAACAAGGTACAGCAAAACCACTGCAATCCATCTGCAGAGACTTTTGAAAGGTTTCTGCTCAGGCATGACTGGATTAGATGTGGAAGGTGTGTTTCCACTAGAAAGAACCATCTTATCAGCCAGTGCTGCATTTCTCAGCGGTCAAGTAGACACAGAGGCCTAGAAAATGCTCTTCTGCAAGTGGTAATATAAATGAAGTTGCATCATTTGCACTGATTATCAAAGCAACAAGGAATTTTTAGCAACAAGAACAGAGGTGCTGAGAGCCTGCAGTCTGGGTTAATGGTCAATTGCCAGACCCACTAGCCCACACTTCAAGCATATTTACCCAACTTTCTCAAAGCTATGGAGAACCCCTCACCATCCTCTGCACATGGCTGTGACGGCCAGCAT